AGGAGATTAAACTAGCTGATGGAGAGGAACAAGAACTGAGGACTTTACTTGATTACAAAGAAGGTGTGATAGTTGATCTTATTACTCAATTACTGATGTTACTTATACTAATGGTATAGGATCAATATTTGAACAAGATAAACAACTGAATATCATCAAAAAAAGAAAAGGTATAGTTAGTGAATGATGAAAATATTTTATTAATGTATTTTTACTTGTATAGAGTATATTGAAAGGAGACTAGAGACACCAGGTATAGTACTAACTTAAAGCATGTATTAAAGTAATGTGGAGGTCATAATCATTTGAACAATCACTACAATTTATCTTATAAATTAATAACATTCTCATTGTGTCATTACTGTAGAGTCTAAACTGAAAGTGAAACTACTGACTAGAAGGAAGTTGATAAATAAAATATTCAAATCAAAGAAATCAGAGACTCAGTATTTCCGAACCTCCCTCCTAATGAAAGCAGGTACTGAGTCTACTGGTATAATCTGTCTATACTACCTCATGACAGGAAGAGAGGAGGCATTAGTGGAGTATAAGAAAGAGATTGAGTTGCTACAAGAAAATATATCAATAACTAGTGTACAACTGCTGATGATGAGTCATAAGGGAAATATTGAGAGTATGTGATATGTTAGTAATTAAATCATTAACTGATTGATATATTGTATAGAGAAGGATCAGTGGACACAATCACTGGATACACCAACAGCAGAATCTATTTACACAGCACGTATTGACTATCAGAGAATAAGGAGTGGTGATCTTTCATTCAGTGAGGGAGAGCAGCTGAAGATATATAACAAGTGGAGTAGTTTTGAGTGGAGTGGAAGATCCTTGGTGTCTGGTAAAAAGGGAGACATTCCTAGTAGTTGTGTTTACTCAATGTTGGAGTCACTTCAATTGTTAGAGTTTTTACTGTCAGTGGAAGAAGTGTCCCTTCCTATTCTACAGAAGATAAGGAATGATTTATCTAGTAATGATGAGAAAGCTTCTCTTTTCTTGGAGACTATTAATGATGATCCTATTATGATATCTGCACTGAGAGAAGACAAGAAACAGCATGATAAAGGTAATATTTGTGATTATTGTGACAGTCAGTATAATTA